ATCCTTGAGGTAGACAATGATAGTAAAGATTGTGAGGCTGGAGAGAAATCCAGAGCTATTTAGGAATTCGAACAGGAAGAGCTTCAAAGCCAGTTAGATGCTGACAATAGGCTAATTGCTCTATCTTGAAGGAAATTGCCGTCTTTGGTGTTGTTTATTGTTGTTTTGAGATGGGGTCTCACTCTGTTGCCCAGGCTGGAGTGCAGTGGCATAATCACAGCTCACTTCCGCTTCGACCTCCCAGGTTCATTACACTTTTGGGTTAATTTCTTACCAGTGGTACCTGTGATAAATTGCAGATTGACAGGGCCACCTTATCAGTACAGGGAGCTGGAGGGTACCACCTTGATGAGTGACCAGGTCTAAGCCCAGGGCTGGCTACAAAGCCAGCTGGCTCTGGAAGCTTTGATTCCTGAGATGGCCGACAACTCACTCACATGTAGAAGGAAAAGAACACTTGGAAAGAAAAATAAGAGCTTTCAAAAGAGACGGGGGTGAATGAGAAGGCTTTACGGAAACTGGTTTATTACTAAGACAGATGTGAACTAAACGAATCTCTGATCTTATGGAGAAGGGGAAGGAGAAAAGTCAAGGAGCCCTCACACAGACTTGCCACATCTCAGGGCCCCTGGAGTCCTCTGTATTACCCACATTCACACTTTCCCAGCTGTAACCATCATCATCATCATAGCTAGCATTTGTCGAGTGATTTCTATGTGTCAGAAACATTAGTTAGGTGCTTTGCATACCTTTTACCTCATCTGATCCCAATAATTTTGTCACATCTTCATCATCTGTTATGATGCAATGAGAAAACTGAGGTTTAAAAAAATAACTTCTTTACCTTAGAGGCAGGGCAAGATGGCAGAATAAAGGGCTCTACCAAGTATCCCCACCCCTAAGCAAGAACACCAAGTCTGACAACTATCTACACAAAAGGAACACTTTCATAGGAACCAAAAATCAAGTGAGCACCCACTGTGTCTGGTTTTGACTTCATACTGCTGAAAGAGGCACTCGAGGGTGAGAAGGAGAGTCTTGAATTGCTGATGCCACCCCTCTCCCATCCCCTGGCAGTGGCTGTGTGGCACAGAGAATCTATGTACACTTGGGAGAGGGACAGCGCCATGATTGTGAGGCTTTACATTGAACTCAGTGCTGCTCTGTCACAGCGGAAAACAAAAATGAGCTGACATCCACCCACAGAGGGAGCATTTGGACAAGTCCTGGCCAGAGAGGACTCGCCCAGCCCAGCGATCAGAACAGGAGTTCCAGCAAGCCTCGCCCTACCAGCTGGAGTGCTTTGGGACACTATGTGAACTTGAGGATCAGTCTAGGCCATGAGGACTGCAATTCTTAGACAAGTCCTAGTGCTGAGCTGGGTTTGGAGTTAGTGAACCAGTGGGGCACAGGAGACCTCAGCTATGGTGTCTAAGGAAGTGCTGCGCCACTCCCCACCAACCTCAGGCAGCACAGCACACAGCTCCAAAAGAGACCCCTTCCTTCTGCTTGAGGAGAGGAGCGGAAAGAGTAAAAAGGACTTAGTCTTGATTTTGGATACCAGCTCAGCCACAGTATGCTAGGGCACTGATAAGGGCTATGAGGTCCCCATTCCAGGCTCTAGCTCCTGGACAACATTTCTGGACACATCACGGGCCACAAGGGAGCCCACTGCCTTGAAGGATGAGTTCCTATGCCTGACAACATTCACTATAAGCTGACTGAAGTTCCTTTGGTCCTTAATGGAACATCAGTGGTCGACAGGCAGTATTCCCCATCGGCCTGGTGAGGCTCCTCTGCCTGCAGGAAGGGGAGGTAAGAATGAGAAGGACTGCATCTTGTGGTTTGACTGCCAGTTCAGGTGCAGTAGAATAGAAGCAGGTAGATGTCTAAGGTTTTAGACTCCCATCTGTAACTCCAGATGGCATCTCTGGACCTGCCCAGGGCCTAGGGGGACTCACCAACCTGAAGGGAAGGACTGAAGCCTGGCTGGCTTCACCACCTGCTGATTGTAGAGCCCTAGGGCCTTGAGCAAACAGACAGTAGCCAGGTAGTGGTTACAGCAGGCCTTGGGCAAGACCCAGTGCTGTGTGGACTCCATATCCGATCCAGCGCGGTCCCAGTGGCGGTGGCCACAGGGGTGCCTGTGTTACTCTACCTCTGGCTCCAGACAGCTCAATGCAGAGAGAGAGAGAGAGACTCCATTTGTTTGGGAGAAAGTAAGGGAAGAAAAAGGTGTCTTTGCTTGGTAATCCAAAGAACTCTTCCCGATCTTATCAGAGACCACCAAGGCGGTACGTCTGCAAGTGTGCAAGAACCACAGTGTTACTGGGCTTGGGGTGCCCACTAAAACAGATGCAGCTTAGGTCATGGCACCCAAGTCCTTTTGAATACCTGGAGAGTATGGATTGTGAGGCTGGAGGCAAATCCAGAGCTATTTAGGAATTACAGCAAGAAGAGCTTCAAAGCCAGTTAGATGCTGACAAGAGGCTGATTGCTCTATCTGGAAGGAAATTGCAATCTTTCATGTTGTTTGTTGTTGCTGTTGTTGTTGTTATTGTTTTGAGACAGGGTCTCACTCTGTTGCCCAAGCTGGAAAGTGTTCCCAAGGAGGACAGGCACAAACAAACCCAGACTGCAAACACTACAATAAATAGCTAACTTTTCAATGCTCAAACACTGACGAACATCCCACAAACATCAAAACCATCGAGGAAAACAAGACCTCATCAAATGAACTAAATAAGGCACCAGGGACTAACGTGGAGAAACAGAGATACGTGACCTTTCAGACAGAGAATTCAAAATAGCTGTTTTGGCCGGGTGCAGTGACTCACGCCTGTAATCCTACCACTTTGGGAGGCCAAGGCAGGCGGATCACAAGGTCAGGAGTGAAGACCAGCCTGGCCAACATGGTGAAACCCCGTCTCTACTCAAAATACAAAAAAGTTAACCAGGTATGGTGGTGCATACCTGTAATCCCAGCTACTCCAGAGACTAAGGCAGGAGAATTGTTGAACCTGGGAGGCGGGGGTTGCAGTGAGCCGAGATTGCACCACTGCATTCCAGCCTGGGCAACAGAGTGAGACTCCATCTCAAAAAAAAATAGTTGTTTTGAGGATACTCAAAGAAATTCTAGATAACACAGAGAAAGAATTCAGAATCCTGTCAGATAAATTTAACAGAGATTGAAATAATTAAAAAGAATCAAACAGAAATTCTGGAGTTGAAAGTTTCAACTGACATACTGAAGAATGCATCAGAGTCTCTTAACAGCAGAATTGCTCAAGCAGAAGAAAGAACTAGTAAGAATAGATAGGCTATTTGAAAACACATAGTCAGAAGAGACAAAAAATAAAAAAGAATGACGCATATCTACAGGATCTAGAAAATAGCCTCAAAAGGGCAGATCTAAGAGTTATTAGCCTCAAAGAGGAAGTTGAGAAAGAGATGGGGTAGACAGTTTATTCAAAGGAATAGTAACAGAGAACTTCCCAAAACTAGAGAAAAATATCAAGATCTGAGTACAAGAAGGTTATAGAACACCAAGCACATTTAACCCAAAGAAGACTACCTCAAGACATTTAATAATTAAACTCCCAAAGATCAAGAATTTAAAAAACAAACAAACAAACAAACAAAAAAACAGATCCTAAAAGCCACAAGAGAAAAAAACGAGTAGCACACAATGGAGCTCCAATACATCTGGCAGCAGACCTTTTAGCGGAAAGCTTACAGGCCAGGAGATAGAGGTATGACACATTTAAGGTGCTGAAGAAAAAAACTTTTATTCTAGAATCGTATATCTGGTTAAAATATCCTTCAAACATGAAGGAGAAATACTTTCCCAAACAAATAAAAGCTGAGGAATTTCATCAACACCAGACCTGCCCTACAAAAAGAATGCTAAAGGAGTACTTCAACCAGAAAGAAAAGGATGTAAAAGAGCGATAAGAAATTGTCTAAAGATACAAAACTCACAGGTATTAGTAAGTACACAGACAAACACAGACTACAACAGTGTAACTGTGGTGTATAAACTACTCTTAAGTAGAAAGACCAAAATATGAACCAATCAAAAATCATAACTTTTCAAAACATAGTACAGTAAGATACAAATGGGAACATTAAAAGTTAAAAAGTAAGGGGAAGGCCTCTGTGTGGTAGCTCATGCCTGTAACCTCATATGGCATCCCTGTAATCCAAGCGCTTTGGGAGGCCAGAAGCAGGCAGACTTCTTGAGCTCAGGAATTTGAGAGCAGCTGGGTGACATGGCAAAACCCTATCTCTACAAAAGATTAAATTAGCTGGTGTTGTGGCGCATGACTGTGGTCCCAGCTACTTTGGGGGCTGAAGTGGGAGGATTGCTTGAGCCCCAGAAGTGGAGGTTGCAGTGAGCCAAGATCGCGCCACCCACCTCACTTCAGCCTCGATACAGAGTGAGATGATGTCTCAAAAAAAAAAAAAAATGGGGGTACAAAGATAAAGTCTAAGTCTTTATTAGTTTTCTTTTTTCTTGTTAGTTTGTTTATGCAAGTAATGTTAAGTTGTTATCAACTTAAAATGACAGGTTGCAAGAGTGTTCGCAAGCCCCACAGTAATCTCAAATCAAAAAACATACAACAGATACACAAAAAATAAAAAGCAAGAAATCAAATTATACCACCAGAGAAAATCACCTTTTCCAAAACAACAAGTTAACTGCTTTTCTCACATAATATGCAACTAAAAGAGGAAGAAGCCGGGTTCAAACCCAGGTCTTCTGGCTCTACATTCCATCCCAGTAACCATGCTGCTGTATTTCCTCCCAAAATTGTGCTCAGCAAAGGGCTGCACAAAGGCAATCACTGCCCTGGGGATTTCTGAAATGCTACGTGCTGCCTCCCATGTGCACCTGGAATGCCATAGTCACCAAAATGGCTCAACACAAACACATCTCTGCTTCCTGATTAACTTCTGCTTCCTGATTTTCTGGGCTCTTGGTGTTTTTCTTCTTTCAGAATCCAGCGAACATTTTAGGAGGTAGCTACTAAAGAGAGCCATGGGGAAGAAAGAATTCTGCTGTGTCTCCTGCCCAGCCCCAGCTGCCGGACACAGCTGCAGGGAGGGAGGAAAGCGAGATTTCACCGGGAAGCTGCCGGCTGCCCAGCACTGCCAGACATGGTCAACGAAGGTACAAAGAGCATCTGGAGGACCCAGTCCTGGTCTCTGATTCCTCAGAAAGGGGCCTAGCCCTGGTCTCTGATTCCTCAAAAAGGTCTCCACCCTAGTACCTCATGTGCCTTGGGATCCAGCATCAAAGTTCAGAAGTGGGCTCAGCCAGCAGCTGGCCGTGCTCACACACTGAAGCATCCTTAGTCAGCTCCTGGCTACCCAGCAGAGCAGAAGCTATGCCCAAACTCGGGGTCACCCGACTCCTCTTCACCTCTTACATCCCAGCCCTCAGCAAATCCCCCGATCCAGCCTCCCTTCCAGCTATATCCAGAATCTGGCCACTTCTCATCACTTCCATCCTTGCAACTCTGACCCAGCAACCAGCCTCACCCACCAAGACTACTACCACCAGCCCCTGGCCTGCTCCCTGTTCCTGCCATCACTGCGGCCTTCACTCTTTTGCATTCTGTCTCCCCCCACACCTCCAGATGGCACCTGCTAGAGGAGGTCTGTTCTGGCCTCTGCACAAACCGGACAGAGGCTTCCCAAGTGGCTTAGAGTAAAACCCCAGTGACAGCCTTGGAGGACCCGGGGCATTTGGTCACTCTCTGAACCCGTCTCCCACCACTCGCCCTGGTGACAGCAGTGCCCTCACTCTGCATCAAGGACTTTGCATGTTGCTTCTTCAGCCTGAAATGCTCTCCCCTAGGAATCCTCCATAGCTCATTCCTTCACCACATTGAGGAGAAGAAGCCTGTTTGGAGCCCCCTTTCTGAAAGTTCAGGCCCTGCCCCCACCACGTCTAACCCCATGCCTGCTCTGTTCTCCCCTGAGCATGTGCTCCTCTGGAACGTACTGTGTCACCACTTGCCGCCAACGCCTGCAGGACACCTCTGTGGACACCCGTGACACCTCAAAGCATCTCTGCTGCCAGAGCTTCACTAGGACTCATGAGACTAAGCAGACGTTTATACCCACGGCTAAGACTCAACAAGGACACAGCAGGGTCTGAGGGATCAGGGCACAGACTCGCTGTGCTCTCTCTCTCATGAGGGCTGCACGGAGCACACCCTGCACCTGCATCTCCCCAGGGAAGTAGATGCTCAGAGCTGGGGCAGAGGCTGGAGCTGCTCATGTCAGCACACTCTCTGCACAGCACAGCTAACAAGACTCCAGACTCCCAATAGGAAAGCGGCTGTTCACAAACCACATTATCTGTAAAAACAGTCAGCAGGCCAGGACAGAGGGGCAGGATCCTGAAAGTCAAGTTCCCAGATGCCAGCCCAGGGCCAGCCCCTGTCATCAGCTGTCCCAGTGAGGAGGTCTGCGACAGATGCTCTCCTCACTGAAATGTGAGCTTCATGGAGGGTTTTGTTTTGTTTGTTCGTTGCTCTGTCTCTCTGGTACAGAATGGGTGCTCCATAAACATCTGCTGAATGAATTAATGATCCTCAAGTATAAGCCCACCAGCCAGTGGTAGAAGCAGGGCTAGCGCTTGGAGATGAATGTTCTTCCCTATCTGAGTGGGGTTGCCCAAGCCATCAGGACCTCACCAGGGCCCCTTATGACCAATGGCTCTGCCTCAGAAAATAGTAGAACTTTCTTTTTTGCAAACCAGCCTTCCCTAATCAGGGACAAAAACTATGATGTTGGCTTCATTCACATAAAGATCTCATAGAGTGGCTTCCCTGGCGCCCCTAGCAGGCCCTGGTGCAGGCACAGGTGGCTCTGTTTCTTCTCTGTGGTTCGTGGAAACAATCCCACTCTCTAGATCCTCTCAGATCAGCTCTGATGAGTTGTGACTTTCTGAAAGCAAAGTATCAAGATTTAGTCACATCTGTGAGCTGTGATGTCTGTCCTCCTAGCTCCAGGACACCGTGTCTCTCTTTGCATATAGCGCTGCCCCTCCCCAGGCCTGAACCTCTTTGAGAAAGGCACGCAGCCAACAACTGGAAGTTAACGGTCTTTGCCCGAGTGCTGTCTCTGTCAGCAATCATTAACCTCACAAGCGAGAAACTGCACGTCAGAAACCAAGGTCACCTACAGTACGGAGGGGCCAACCAAGCCAGGGAGCAGGAAGAGAGGTGACAAGGCCGCAGAGCCCAGATTCCAAGCGTCACATCCAAGCCCCCAGCCACAGTGTGCACACACGTGGGCAGAAACAACTGCCTTGGCCAGACATGGTCGCTCATGCCTGTAATCCCAGAACTCTGGGAGGCCAAGGCAGGACGATCATTTGACGCCAGGAGTTTAAGACCAGCCTGGGCAACATAGTAAGACCCCATCTCTACAAATACATATATAACACAACAGACTTACCCCAGCTTTTTTGCACAGGGATTCTGCTCGCCTCAGCTTTCCCAAGGCCTCTCTTGGAGGCTTCTCTGTCTCCTCTGTCTCTATAGGATTCCCACAAGTCCCCCTTCACCCCACTCTTCTCTAGAAGCGCGTGGGGAGGTTCCTCACTCTAACCTCCTCAGACATCCCACCTGCACTTCCTCAGCACAGGGACAGAAACTGCACCCCACTCCCCCCACCAACCCTGACCCTTTCCCACGCTGGGAAACACACCACATGTCAACTCAGGACTCTGCTCCTGCCTGCCCCCTGCCCAGTGTGCCCTCTTCCTCCTAAGTCCCTCATGTATCACAAAACGCCACACAGGCTCTTCCCTGTGGATCGTCAGGGCTGCAGCCTCCCAGAGCACAGGGCTTGGGATTCACTCACTGGCCAAGGAACATGTTCTCTGCAAGGAGGCAGGTAAAGAAGGTGTGCTGGGTTGCACAGCATCCCCCCAAAATTCATGTCCCTCCTGGAACCTCAGAATCTGATCTTATTTGGAAATAGGATCGTTGCAGGTGAATTGGTTAAGATGATGTCATATTGGAGTTGGGTAGTCCTTCAATAAAATCACTGATGTCCTTGTAAAAAGAAGCACAGAGACAAGGAGGGCGACATGTGAGGACAGAGATTGGAGCGACACAGCCACAAGCCAAGGCCCTGAGGGACGCTGAGGATTGTTGGCAACACAGAAGCTGGAAGGGGAGAGGAAGGACCCTCTTCCTGAGCCTTCGAAGGGGAGCATGGCCTTGCCCACACCTTCATTTCACACTTCAGTCCTCCAGAACCGAGATGACCCATTTCTGTTATTTCAAGACCCCGTGTGTGGTCCTCTGTGACAGCAGCTATGGAGGCTGCTGCAGAGGGGAGAGTCCCAGGACTTGCAGTCTTCAGGGGAATCTCCTTCCAAGCCCCTGCAGGACAGGCTCCTGGGCGTGATTGTGTTGCACTTACTCTGAGCCACCTTGTAATATTCATCTTTCTATTTACCTGTGGCCATTACATAAAAATTGCAATTCTTTCTGGGGTGCTGCAGCTCCCTGCCTTCATGCAGCGTTCCTCCCTGCCCTCACTGCATCCTCCAGGTGCGGAACCTGTCCTCAGCCACATCTACCCTGGTGTGAGGACCTGCAATCACTCAGTCTGTCTCTCAGGCCTTTTATTTATTTATTCTACCTCAGTGCATGGATGTCGTCAACACTGGCCCATACGAGGCCTCTCTCTTATCTTTCTTACTTGTGTATGTGTGTATTCCCACTCCCACCCCCAACCAGACATCCATTCTAATGTGTATCCATTCCTGAAAGTAGGTGGCTTGGTTTCCTGTTATGTAACAGCATTGTGCTGTCACTCATCCTGCGTCTTCCATGATCCTGAAATCTATTCTCAGGAGTGGCTGTGTGGACATCCATGCCTTTGCATCCACCAGCTGCAAAGCACGTGGTGGTGGTGACCACCCTCCTGATGGCCTCCAGCTCCCCATTCTCACAGCCACTTGTGTCTGCTTCCCATCTCTGCACCTGGGTGAGAACCTCTTTGACATATAGTCCAAGAGGCAGAATTGCTGAGTCTGGAGAGCATGCAATTCTCTCATCTGCCCATGCCCTGCAAAGTGCACTACAGAATGGTTGTACCATCAACAACCCCGAACCACAACCACACATAGGATCCCCATTTCCCCATCTCTCTGCCAACACTTGGCATCATGCAGCTGTCCTGTATACAATTATATCTCATTGTTGAATACTTTGCATACACATTTGAGCATCTTTCCATAACTTTAGCCCTTTGGGGTGCCTCTTCTGTTAGTTGCCTTTGGGATTCTTTACCAGGTTTCCACAGGGACTGCTGCCTCTTTCTGGATGATTTGCAAGAGTTCCTTGTATATTCTAGTTATTATTCCTGTCACTTTTGGAAAACAGCTTCATTGAGACATACCTTACAATTCACCCATGTAAAGTGTATAATTCAATGTACTTTAGTATATTCACAGGTACATGCAACCATCACCTTCAATTTTGGAACTTTTTAGAAACTTCAAAAAGAAACTCCATACACATTAGCTCTCACCCTGTTCCTCCATCACACCTCAGCCCTAAGCAACCACTAATGTGCTTCTCATCTACTCGAGAGATTTACCTATCCTACACGTTTCATATAAATGGAATAATATGTGGTCTTTTGTGACTGGCTTCTTTCATCTGCCATAGTGGTTTTAAGGTTCATCCACGTTGTATCATGTAGCAGTGATTCATTCCTTTTCGTGACTGAATAATGTTCCATTGAAAGGATAGACCACATTTGGTTGACTCATTTATCAATGGAGAGAGATCTGAGTTGTCTCCACCTTTTGGCTATCGTGAATAATGCTGCAGTAAACACTCTGGTACAGGTTTCCACGTGGACATATGTTTTCCTTTCTCTTGAGTATATACCCAAGAGTGGGATTGCTGGGTTATATGATAACAATGTTAAGTCATTTGAGGAACAGCCAGACAGTTTTCCAAAGTGGCTGCATCATTTCACTGTCAGCTGCCAGTGAGGCTTCCAGTTTCTCTGCCTCCTCCCTTACCTGTTTTTATCTCGCTTTTGAATTCTAGCCATCCTAGTGGGTGTGAAGTGATATCTCATGGTGGTTTTGATTTGCATCTCCCTGATGACTAGTGATGCTAAACACCTTTCCATGTGCATATTGGCCATGTCTTCCTGGAGGGAACATCTATTCAGATCTTTTGCTCGTTTTTAATTGGATTGTCTTTTATTATGGAATTGGAAGAGTTCTTTTTATATGCTAGATACAATTTTATTACCAGATATATACTTTGTGAATATTTCCTCCCATTCTATGGTTTGTCTTTTCACTTTCTTGTGGATGTTCTTTGAAGCTTAAAAGTCTTTTAATACTGATGATATCCAATTACCTATTTTTTTCTTTGGTTATTTGTGCTTTGAGGTCACATCAAAGAATTAGGTGTAAAGTCAAGAAGATTGACTGCTATGTTTTCTTGAAGAGTTTTACAGTTTTAGCTCTTACATGTACATCTTTGGCGCCTTTTGAGTCCGTTTCCATGTGGGGAAGGGTCCAACTCCATCATTTTCATGTGGTCCTACTCCCTTTTAATCTTTTCAAGTCTCTTTTCTCAATCGGTCCTCAGTCCATCAACTTTGTTGTGGTTTCCTTTGTGGAACAGAAACAGATTGTAGTCCTCAAAATCAGGTTGTTCCTGGAACTCTCTTCTGATCCAAATCTCCCCAATTCTCCATGGAGTTGGTGAGCCCATAACTGAGAATGCATCTCTCACAGTCCTCTTGAACACTGAGGGTGAAAGATGTTAGCTTTCATTGTCTTCGTATCAATCATCATTTTAACATTTAAGGTGAATCCCCTTCCTCAGAGACACCAAAGACCTTCTGGAATTGCAAGCAAGCATCAAGTTGACTGAGTGTTTTCACCTTCCTTCGTCTAGTGGCCGGTGCACACTGAAACGACTTGCAATGCAGGCAGCAGGAAGGATGATAATGAGAAACACAAAATCCCTAGAACCACAAAGCGGTGCATGGTCCCTGAGCAACCAAACCTTGGTCATGGGCAATGACGACCTCTTGGTGGTCCTGAGCCATGCACTCTTCCTGACTCTACTCCTTCCCTTCCAACCAGGAGCTCAGCCAGTCACCACTCTGCCATGTTCACCATTCTCAACCTGACAAGGCCATGTTAGCACTGTCCCCACCGCTGCATGGATACTACCTGCCCCAGTGTCCTCTCCCCTCTCTGCTCTGTGCATAGCCCTAGCTACCCTGGCCAGCTTTGTCTCAGCCAAGTCCTTCCTCCTTTCTGAATCTGATGGGGGTCCCAACGATAGTTAAAAAGCCGCCAAGGTTCACAGCTCATCTTGAGTGGCTGCTTCTCCCAAATGGTTCTGCCTCTGGTGTCCTATTCTACGTGTGGTCGAATTCTCTGCTTTGCTGTGGGTGCCAGCCTCTATCAGTCCCTCCCCTGGTCTATCTGTCAGCTTCAGTTAAGACTACCAGCTAGGAAATGGCCCCTTGTTCTTATCTCTGCCTCTCAAATGTGCCACCGACATAAACAGATTATGGCATTGTACAGCTCGTCACAGAGAAACCA